CTCTCTCCTCTCTCTCTCTCTCTTTCTCTCTCTCTTTCTCTCTCTCTTTCTCTCTCTCTCTCTCTCTCTCTCTTTTCATGAGTTTTCTGTGAATGACCTTAGCTACACAATCTCAAGTTAAATACCAAGTTGGGTGTTTTTTTTTTCTTTTGAGATGTGTGGTCCTTTTATTGAGATTTTTATGGGTTTTGTTCTGTTTTCTTTTTTCCTAACAATTGCTTTATTAAACGTTAAAATATTTAAAAGAAATATGTAATATTTGGACCAGATGTTGTGAATAATAGTAGATAAAAGCTATTTTATTCTGTATTTTTAAAAGCTGTTCGGTATAAATAAAAGTTGACATAGATGCAACTTTGTAACTGGATTGTGGTGATAATTTTGCAAGTACGCAAAACTCGACACTGGATCCAACCAGTTGTCTTATTGTCCCAAAACTGCTGAGAAAAAAAAAATGCCAACAAGCCTTAACATTTTAGACCCACCCACTATTAACCACTCAGAGGGCTGCAAAAGAGATGTTGGGTAAGCTTGAACTCCTGATCGATAAAAAAAAATGCAAAAATTCCTCCTCCGAAAGAGTTTTGAAAAGCAAATTGTTTTTTCTTGAGCAAAAGAGAGACAGCTGGTACTACATATAAATAAAAATACTTTATACCAATATAGAAATATGTTTAGCAGTACCACAGTGCTAAAGCATGGCTGTACTGTGTATGGAATAAAACCATAGTTGGGTGGATTGACAAAATGCATGAAGACAAAACCAGCCAATAACGCGATGAAGTGTGTGAATCGAATTTCTGCCTCTGCTGCATCCAGTGTGGCAAATGTGTTCGTGTGTGTTTTTAAGTAGGTCATTCTTGGGTTAATTACGTGGTTAAAACAATGCCATTTACTTGGCAGTCATAGGCAGGGATGGTCTGCCACAATCTATGCTGGGGGTCTCCAAATTTGGCCACTTTAAGAAAAGTGCACAAGGCACTTTTTATCACATGTGGTGGTCCTGTCCTGAAGCCCAAACATACAAGACAAAAATTAGACCTTGGTTACAAGAAATAGTAAAAGAACAAATAGAATTTGAACCTGAGCTACTCATGTTAGGAATATTTAAAAAGAAATATAGGGAAAAGATTAAATATATTGTATTACACCTATTAACTGCGGCTAGATTAACATATGCACAATGTTGGAAGCACAATAATATTCCTGCTGAGGAATTGGTAATTCAAAAAATCTTGGACTGGGCCGACATAGATAGATTGACTCTAAAATTAAAAGGTAAAGAAGAATCGGAATATCATGAAATTTGGGATATGTGGTATAATGGGCTGGAAAATAGGAAACAAAGAAGGTTAAGTTAAGATCATTATAGATAAATGTAAATAAATATATAGTACCATATATTAATGTAAATATTTACAAGAGATGGATATGTATAATAATGATGCTACAGTGCTGTTAATGTCATGATTGATTGTGTTTTTTAAAGTGTAAAAGAACAATAAAATTTATTCCAAAAAAAAAAAAAAGACTTGTGGACTTCGACTCCCAGAATTCCTCAAGACACCCTGCTGGCTAAGAAATCCTGCGAGTTGAAGTCCACAAGTCTTAAAAGTGGCCCAGTCTGGAGACCCCGGCCTAGACCTGGGTATTTTTCAACTATATTTCCTCCGAATGAAAGTCATCTCTTTCCAGGTACCTTCTGACTGCAGTACCTTGGACAGCTACTGTACATCTAGAGGCCACAGCATTTCCAGTTGCCTTCCCAACGTGGCACTCACTCTCCATGGGTTGGGCCAGGGACCGGCAACCTTAAACCCCCAAAAGAGCCATTTGGACCCGTTTCCCACAGAAAAGAAAACGCCACTTTAACAACCAGTGGGACTTGGTGGGCGTGGCCAACTGGATGCCACTCACTCCCACCCAGTCACATGACACACACCCCAGCCACGCCTACCCAGCCAGTCATTAGGGCAGAAATCTATCTCTCCCAGTCTCCCTGTCTCTCTCTCTCTCTCTCTGTCTCTATTTCTCTCTCCGTCTCTCTCTTTCCATCTCTCTCCCTCCCTCCCTCCCTCTCTCTCTGTCTCTGTTTCTCTGTGTCTTTGTTCCTCTCTCTCTGTCTCTTTCTGTGTCTGTCTGTCTGTCTCTGTCTGTTTCTCTGTGTCTCTGTCTATCTGTCTGTTTCTCTGTCTCTGTCTCTGTCTCTCTCTTTCTCACATACACAGGGTTTTTAATTGCATGGTCCTGGCTGCCAATCTTGACCTTTTAATTTTGTTTCTTGACACTCTCTGCCCAGTTGAAGCATCCAAAAGGGCGTTCTTTAGCTGTGCATGACAACCAAACTCTTCAATCATCCATCATTTGGGACAGAATCCCTTACAGGTAGTCCTCGACTTACAACAGCCCATTTAGTGACCATTTGAAGTCACGGCACTGAAAATAGTGACTCATGACTCATACCTACGACAGCTGCGGTGTCCCGGAGTGACATCATCGTAACCTTTTGCCACCTTCTGACAAGCAAAGTCATTGGGGAAGCAACTTTCCCTTCACAGCCGTGTTGCTCACTTAACTGCAGCGATTCACTTAACAACGGTAGCAAGGAAGGTCATAAAATGGGGGGAAATCACTTTTAACAAATGTCCTCACCAACATTTTGGGCTCAATTGTGGCCATAAGTCAAAGACTCCCTGCATTTCCTGATTTGAACAGGAGATGTGTGATGACCCCGGGTGGGATACAAAACAAACACAGTCACAGAAAACAGGTGAAGCCCCTTTTATTCCTTCACTTGGCTTCCAAGCTCCAAATATCCTTGACTGGAGACAAAAAAACTCCCACACAAACAGTTACAAGAAGAAGGAAAAAAGCAACACAAACCAGGCAAGATAAGGACTGGAGGATGTCCACGGATAACACACACTGGGAAGGACGCCAAACTCAGAGAGGAACCATAAACGAGATATTTCCATGCTTTGTTTCCAGCGCTCGCCCCTACGCATGTCCTCCCCCATAGACCACGTCTCTCCCTTATCCTCTCCTCCCTTCGTGCCCTAGGAGGGAGAAGGGAAGGGCCTGGGTCCTCTTCTGACTGCCCAGCCGGCCTCTGCCCTTCCCCAGCCTCCTCCACATCCTCCGGAGCCACACCTCCACTCCCCCAGAGTCAGTCTCCACCAGGGACATGACAAGATGTTGATAAGGATGACCAGACCCCTTTCACAAGACAAGGGCCGCCTGGGCTTGACACAAGTCAACTGGAGCATGACCAGATGCATTTTCCTTCCTGTAATGGGCTATAAAAGTTGACAGATGACCTTTAATCCCTTTTTAAAGGAATTTGGGGGTGATTGTGGTGCAGGATTGAGGGCCCCTCGCTTAGAGATCATCCCTACTTTTTTTTTCTTTTGCAGAATGGATGCTGTAGGAATTTTCCTTTCGTGCTGACAATCATGGGAAGGTCCAAAGAAACCCACAAACCTCTCTTTATGGGCACAACTACTTGAAAGTCATGACTGGCTGCTTCCTCTGGCTTGTCACTTTTCACCAGGCTCACAACGGCTTTTAACCAAACCCTAACAGTCAGAACAGACCAGAAGTCTATTAAAACAACAAAGCTGTGAGACCCAGAGAGTTGGGTTTGCAGAACCATCTCCTACCCTTGGGCAAATCTCGGCCCACAGGAAGCCTTGGCATAGTTTATTTCTGAGAGTTTTTTCCAGGGAAACTGAGAAAGAGCAGCTCACCCACGCATCCTTTGCTTCATAGGTCATTGGAGATTTGCGTGTGTTTGCAACTTCAATGAGTCCTCCATCACATTGAATTAAACATGTGCAAAATGTGAGTTTCCTCAGCTGGAAAATATATTACAATTCATCCCCTTCCCTTTTTGGCTCCTTTTTTCATTTATTCTGTTAATGTGCTGCACATTTACACATAGTAATTGAGTGCATCAGTGGCCTCATCCCATTTGATCATTATGAGTTTTGCATCTGGAACATCTGCAGAGGTTTCTGCATGAATTGTTGAATAGCGAAGTACCGGACCTAGCATGCTGGTTTGCAAGGAGATTCCCGGACCAAAGCTCCTAGCTTGCCTAGAATATGAAAGTAGTCTATTCTTATGGAATCGGGGAATTCATGCGCTGAATCAAATGGGAAGACTTCACAATGAGTAAAAGAAACGTATATCTGAAACGATGAATTGAAATGATGACTTGAAACGATGAATTGAAATTACGAACGC